ATCAGTCAACAACGACGTAAGTACCGGGAGTAAAGTGCAAGTGGTGAGGGTGAGAACAAGTGAGGTAGGAGCATGGCAAGTGGGAATACTGACCAAATTTAAGCAATTGGAGAAGGAGGGAACCACGAGCTTTACCCTGCATTCGACCGGGGGTAACAGTTTGGCGGAAAGATGGAAGGCGGTTAAAAGCGCATTTGGAAGATCGGCAATAAGACTGGAGGGGAGAGACAAAGTTTTGGCGAAATGTAAGAAAGAGTTGGACGAAGCCAAGACGCTGGAGGTGAAATACCTACGACAGTGGCGCCAATCCATAGGACCAGACAAGAAAATGTCAGTCAAACTGTTACGCGACCCCAACAAGATGGAGGTGTTACGAGCTTCGCAAATGGAGGTGCGGTTCAGGTGGTACAAGGTGGCAAAAGATTTTCAGAAAAAGGCGACACACTCATATGTACGGCGCATCATTGCGCGAGTTATCAAAGAGACCAGCGGTTGGAAGATGGGTTCGGATATCGTGGTGAAAGTGTAGTACGATGACAGAGTGAGTCTGGCTGAAGTTCGCAAGTTGGTTAATGACAAGATTGGGACATTGAGTCATCCGGATTGCATGAAGAAACGCGCGAGGAGTAAGGTGAGGACAATATGGGCAAAGAACCCATCCGTTGCTGACCTGCTACACAACCAGCACCAGTATGCGCGCAAAGTTGTGTCTACCTGCCAGTGTGCAGGCCTCCCTTACCCTCGTGTAGGGGAGCACGTGCGGTTCACACTGCAGGAATTGGAGGGGATACATCCGATGATGTTGAACGCAAATAATGTACCGAAGGCTAGGCATCACGATCGAGTCGGTTTACTGCGAAAGGAAATTATAGAAGCTTTCGAGGCGTGGGAAAATTACAACAAGAAGGATGACATGTCGGTTACTATGGAAAGCGCAAGAGGTTGCATGGCAAACGGAATGGAGGAGGGAGGCAATTTTCTCGATGTAGAGGAGGTGAGATTACTGAAGAACCGACTGCAGAATCAAGTGTTGACACCGTTGGACCATAATCCAGAGGAGACCCTGGTTATGTGTCCTTACCTCTATTTTGAGGCGATGATGGAAGGTTTTGTCCTGCACACAGGCTACACAGTGCTGACCGAGCAGAGCGAGGATAAGGTGAAGGATGTGGTGAAACAAGCGATGGAGGATGCTGGAGTGGGGAGATTTGCAGCAGTGGATATGAAAGGGGCATTCGGCAAAGCTTTCGTCCAGCCGAAGCATAAGGATCTGGACCGCTTCAGACCAATATGCCCGTCATATGCAGATCCAGCAACGAAGACAGGACAGATTGTGGCGAAAGCCCTCAATCACTTGTTGTTCAACTTACCGAAGGAGTGGCACTTCAACCTGCGGTCAGTAAGTGAGGTAACGCAAAGGGTGGAGAAGTTTAACGCGGCACAAGTCAAGCGACGGGAGGATGTGCTACTACACATAGCGTTGTCGTACGACATAAAAGACATGTTCAGGAAGTTACCCCACGACGAGATTATGCAATCGGTTAACCGGATAATTGACCGATACAAGGCGAAAGGCAAGAATTGGATTAGAGGGAACACTAGAGGGAAAGGATGCACGTTCGGAAGGACCGCAGGAGCTGATCATTGGCGCAAGCTGTGTTTGGATGAGATCAGGAGCTTCGTTGAAGTCGATCTGGAACGCACTTGCGTGAGCGCTATGGGGGTGCTGTTGAAGCAGACTATCGGGATTCCTTTGGGAAAGAGCACCAGCCC